TCGAATATCTCGAAGCTTTTGGAGATTCGCAATTGATAGTCAACCAAGTCCGTGGAGAGTATGAAGTCAAGAACCCAGACTTGATCCTATACCACCAGGAAGCCATCAGAATGGCAGAATCTTTTGAAGAATTCTTTATCGAATACATCCCTCGTCTCCAGAACGCTTATGCGGATGCACTGGCAGCACTAGCGGTGAAGCTGAGCTGTTAGTCACAGTACGGACGCATCAACTCTGCGTACCCATATACAGTACGGAGATTGAAGAAGAAGATGACGGAAACATTAACGCCAAGGAGGTGAATTCAACTCAAATTGGGTCTGAGTCCCGAGATTGGCGTTTTCCTAGCATCGACTACGTCCAATATGGTATCCTGCCAGAGGATGTAAAAGAAAGGGAATCAATTCGCCGAAGAGCGCCAAGATTCTTTTATAATGCCGAGACCCATACGTTATACCGTAGGGGATACGATGGTTTATTACTCCGATGCCTTTCGAACAAAGAAGCAGAAGAAGTTCTTAAGGAAGCACACGCAGGAGAATGTGGTGCGCATCAGCCCGGTCCCAATTAAGGAAGCACACGAAGGAGAATGTGGTGCGCACCAGCCCGGTCCCAAACTGTATGATCGCATCAGGAGGATGGGATATTTCTGGCCAACGATGGTTCGTGACGCGATCGAGTACGCCCGACAGTGTCATGCTTGCCAAATACATGCAAATTATATGCATCAACCCCCAGAGCAGTTGCACACATCGTCCACATCATGGCCGTTCGAAGTATGGGGCATGGACATTGTTGGTCCTATTTTTCCTCCTTCAGTCAAAGGTGATCGATTCATTCTGGCGATTACGGATTACTTCTCAAAGTGGGCTGAAGCAATTCCGCTTAAAGAAGTAAAGACGAACAACGTCATCAATTTCATCAAGCATCATGTCATCTACAGACACGGCGTGCCAAGAAGGATCATTCATGACAACGGTCCGCAATTTATAAGCAACGCCTTCATCAGATTTTGTAACAAGTTCAAAATTGAAGACGTTTCATCAACACCTTATTATCCCGCCGCGAATGGATTAGCGGAGGCGTTTAACAAGACGATCATTAAGATCCTGTCCAAGCTCGTGAAGACCAATAAACGAGACTGGGACGATAAACTCGGTGAAGCACTCTGGGCTTATCGCACCACCATACGCACGCCTACGGGAGCTACCCCGTATTCGCTGGTATACGGATATGAAGCTGTACTACCGCTGGAAATTCAGATTCCATCCCTTCGGATCGCCCTCGCAACAGAGATGACAACGGAGGAACAACATCAAAAGCGTCTCGAAGAGCTTGAGAGGCTGGATGAAAAGCGCTTGGAAGCTCAACAGCAAATTGAGTTTTATCAGGCCAGGATGTCTAGGGCTTTTAACAAAAGAGTCCGACAGAGAAGCTTCAAGGAAGGAGATCTGGTCCTCGCTGCTCGCCGACCAATAATTCTCACCTCCAAGAAGAAAGGTAAATTCGAACCCAAATGGGAGGGACCGTTTGTAATAGACACAGTCTACTCAAACGGCGCATATCGCCTAATTACTCCAGAGGGCGCCAGGCAATTAATGCCAATAAATGGGAAGTTCCTGAAAAAGTACTATCCCTAGTACATTCAGGATAACTCATTTACCGGGAAGTTCCTCGAAGAATATTACACTTAATATTCCAGAGGATAACCCAAAATCATTGTCACCACCAAAATCCCTCACTGATCAATTTCAATTGACAGTGAGTCCACCAAAAATGTTTTTCTGGCCCTCTTGATTCTTTCCATGAACAAGAGGTCCACTTTCAGTTCAGAGTACCCTTTCGATAAACGAAAGAACTCCTTTCTTTTCTCTTTGGTCAAGCCTTCCCATGGTTATAGCCAACTTGAATGTTTGGAATTTGTTTTCGTACCAGTAATATTTACAATTTATTATCTACATTTCAGGTTATAGCCGCCTATGTCGTGCTTCTAAATAGGTTGATGGAGACGCGTCCCAACTATGCAAAGGACATACACGTATGCAGTCCATGGGTAACCGTAAGTAGAAATCCAATCCGAGACTATGTTGTAAGTTTCATAAGCTATATTCATATGTTCATCTGAACTTTCTTTGTTTTCTTAGAGATGCATCAATGAGAATAACCCGTCGAGTGTGGATCGAATGTTTAAGCCAATAACGACTACTCGCTTCCAAGAACTTGATAAGATTATTTTTCCACTCCTAACTTCATTTCATTGGCATTTGTTGGTATTCTCTGTAAAGGATAGAAGATTTCTTCATTATTCTTCTCTACGTGGATATATGTCTGATGCTAGTGAATTTAGAGTGAAGCTTATTTCTACCATTCCCGATGTTTGGTATTTAGACATTACTACTTGTCAGGAGGTAGAAAGTGTTGATGTACCTCAACAACGGGGGTTAGTGTATTCGACTTATTCATCTGTTGTTTTTTCATATGTGATTGTGCATAGATACTGTTATATTGATATTGCAAACATTTGAACTTGCAGTAGCTTGGATTGCGGGGTGTTCTTGATGGCATATATGTTTAGCCTCGTTTCCGGTCAAACTATTTCAATTGACCAAAAGGATTGTGCGAGACATAGAGCTCGTATCGTTGCTCTATTTCTATCTGAAGGTATATTTTCTATAATTGTAATGTTCATTGAACCGTTTTTAAACTCAATCTATTGTTCTTTTGATCAATCATATATATTTTGCTTTTAGGAAATCAGCGTGATCCTCAAGACCAATTCCCCGAATGCTAGATGCCAATTATCATATCAAGCATTTTTTGTGTACATATATATGTTTGGAAAGTTATTTGTAAAGTGATTTGTCTGAAACCTATGGGACTGTTGATGGGATTGGTTATGTAAAGTCATTTGTAAAATCATTTTGTGCAATCAGCTACTGTGGTTATGTAAAGTCATTTGAAAAGAACATATATATGTTTGGAAAGTTTTGATGTATAGTGATTTGTATGAAACCTATGAGACTGTTGTTGGGATTAGTTATGTAAAGTCATTTGTAAAGTCATTTTGTGTACTAAACCACAATGGTTAAATTATAGGTTATGTAAAGTTTTGTATGCTTTTACGTCATTGAAATTGATGGTTTATTACAGATATCAGCATGTTACACATAACCATAACACAACAAAAGGATGCAAAGGACATTCACACATAATTAATGGAAGCTTTCCACACTTCACTCTCTCTAGTTGCATCAGAATTGCAGCAACATATATAGAGTTCTCCTTTCAAACGTAAACACCAAAAACAGACACATGTTGATCCCCTAAAGAGATCAACACTACCACTATAGGCTCTCATTCACAAGCTTTATAATTGAGCAACACTAACACGTTATATTGTAAGTATAGCACATTATATCATAAGTGTAGCACGTTATATCATAAGTATAGCACGTTACATATAAGTATAGCATGTTATACTGTAAGTATAGCACGTTAACCTGTAAGTATAGCATCTAACCCCACAACCCGACCCGAACCCGACCCGAAACCCATTAAGACCCAACACAGAAAAACTCTCTTCCTGCTGTGCGGTCGATCCCCGCGCCTTACGCGGTCGACCGCGCAGCAGGAGAAAAGTCTATTGTGTGCCCGACTGCTGTGCGGTCGACCGCCGCGCACATCGCGGTCGACCGCACAGCAGAACAACTGCCTGCTATGCCTTCTATCACATGCTGATCAATCCCCTTGATTTCTCTAACATAGAAATTCTTGCTAGGCTCCCAAACACTATTTATCACATTTATTTAACATATATATGGTTATTCATCGCAAAAGAAATGTGTTTACCACTAATAACTCAATATATTCATTAATAAATTTACGGGGTTCTACATTCTTCCCCCCTAAAAAGAATTTCGTGTTAACCTGTAAGTATAGCATGTTATACTGTAAGTATAGCATGTTAACCTGTAAGTATAGCATGTTATGTCATAAGTATAGCACGTTAACCTGTAAGTATAGCACGTTATCTTATAAGTATATCACATTATGTTGTAAGTATAGCACATTATATCATAAGTATAGCACATTATTTCATAAGTATAGCACATTACATCATAAGTATAGCACGTTAATCTGTAAGTATAGCACGTTAACATGTAAGTATAGCATGTTATACTGTAAGTATAGCACGTTAACCTGTAAGTATAGCACGTTATAGTGTAAGTATAGCACGTTATACTGTAAGTATAGCACGTTAACCTGTAAGTATAGCATGTTATACTGTAAGTTAGCACGTTATACTGTAAGTATAGCACGTTAACCTGTAAGTATAGCATGTTATACTGTAAGTATAGCACATTAACCTATAAGTATAGCATGTTATGTCATAAGTATAGCACGTTAACCTGTAAGTATAGCACGTTATCTTATAAGTATAGCACATTATGTTGTAAGTATAGCACATTATATCATAAGTATAGAACATTATTTCATAAGTATAGCACGTTACATCATAAGCATAGCACGTTAACCTGTAAGTATAGCACGTTAACATGTAAGTATAGCACGTTAACCTGTAAGTATAGCACATTAACATGTAAGTATAGCACGTTATACTGTAAGTATAGCACGTTAACCTATAAGTATAGCACGTTAACCTGCAAGTATAGCACGTTATCTTATAAGTATAGCACATTATATTGTAATGATGGCACGTTATTTTGTAAGTATAGTATCCTATATTCAAAATTATGATAACAAACACAAATCCTACATCCAAAAGTATAGCATGTTTTTCATTGATATCATAAGTATAGCACATTTTACATCCAAATGTATCCACATGTATAACATAGCATATCTATCCAAAAGTATAGCATATCTATCCAAAAGTATAGCATATCTATCCAAAAGTACAGCATATCTTCTAACCAAAAGTATTGTGTAGACCATATCTAGTCTGCAATAGGCTGTCTACATGTTCTACGGTTGTGACCATACTGTTGACATCTACTACATTTTAACTCTTTGGCCGGATTCAATCCCGAAGGAATGCGCTTTGTCCTTGGTCTTCCACGAAGAATTGATGTTGTTGGTGGCCGAATCACCATATTTTCATCATCTATACATGGCTTGTCATCGTCAGGAATTGGGTATATCGGAAAGGAGTAGCATTTGCGGTATGTCTCCACACTAAAGTAGTGGGAAATATAGGAGTAAAGGGTGTCCATATTCTGTCGAATAACCGTCGCAGCATGTTTGTAAGGTAGCCCGACAACTTGCCATTCACGACAAGCGCATGTGCGTTCATTCAAGTTTACTTCAACGGTGGGGAAATCATACACCTCGTACCTTCCTGTAGTAGAAGGAATTGCAGAAAGACAACGTGATTGCTCATTGATATGAATAAGGTGTTCTTCCACAGTAGGAACAAATGATGTGGTCCACTTGTGGATCATTTTCTTGCGGATATTATCAATTGTTTGGGTAATTGGCAAATAACGAGCTTCTTTGATCCAAGAATTGAATGACTCCGCCACGTTTGATGTCAACCATCCATATCTACATGCATGTCAATAAATAGTAAGTATAGCAGGAACATATATCTCAAAAATTTGCATTTAAAATTCTGTATAAATTTAAATTTCAACCTCTTCCCAGGAAAATAACAATTAGCCCAATTTTCTGGACTCATCCTCAACATTTCGTAATAGGCGATCTCTGATTTGTTCCTTAGCTCGTTGCATTCATTGTTATAGGCACGAGAAGTGTATGCATAAGCGGCCCTCTTCATAATTTGCACACATTCATCTCGTAAAGGTGGTATAATACCTTTTTCGATAGGTTATTCTTAAAATTAGCCAAAAGATGACGAATACAATAAGAGTGATGTGACCATGGAAAGCATTTCTTCACAGAATTCTGAAGTCCTTTGTCCCTATCGGAGATTAACACCAGTTCATCATCTGGAGTATATGGATCTTCATCATTGAAGAGAATGTCTCGAATGCATTCCAGAAACCATTCCCAATTACTCTCATTCTCCGTCCCGCATATGCAAATTGCTACGGGAAACATACCACCATCTCCATTTAGAGCAGTTGCGGCAAGTAAGGTTCCTTTATACCTAAAAAAGAAAAGAACAATCATGAAACAAAGTATAATATGAAGTAGTACATTAATGCAAGTTTTGATTAGATTGAACTCTACCATACCTATCAAAAAGATGTGTACCATCCAAGAACAATATTGGTCTACATCCCTCCATAAACCCTTTCCAACAAGCATAATAAGACACAAATACTCGTGTAAATCTTCCGTCTTCATGCTCTAAGTGAACAATTGATCCCGGATTGGTTTCTATAACTTTATCCTTATACCATCGGAGTTGGTCATATGAAAATTTAGTATCACCATACAACTCACGTTGAGCTAGCTCTTTTCCCCACCAAATTCTATGATAAGGGATGTCCAAACCAAATTCCATTTTAAGCTTCTTTTGGAAATCAATTGGGCGATAAGTGGGTTGTTCCTTCAATATGGTCTTGAGTTGATTAGCATTCCACTTACGAGATGCCCGTTGATATCCTTCCTTTCCTATGCCTCCTCCCAAGCAACTATGAGAACTATATATTTTTTTCACATAGAATCGATCATTATCTCTACGACGGGTGCAATGAACCATCCATTCGCAGTTTGCGGCCTTGCATTTTGCTGTCACCCTTTTGCGTTCATTTTTTACAAATTCAAAGTTAAATCCTCGTGCAATAGAGTAATTACTTAAACTCCGCCGACAATGTTCAACATCATCAAATTCTTGACCAACACTTCTAATAGCATTGTGCCATGCAATAGGAATCATATTAGAGCTCTCAACTTCCCGCGACATATTTTGTGAATACGATGGATTTTGTGAATGAGAAACATGATCATCACTAGAGGGGATATACGGATTACTGCATAGAAAATTGTACAAGAGTTAAGAAAGTGATAATGTTAAAAGTACGAAACTATATCAAAAGTGTAAATTACCTTATATGGACATCGTTAGCTTGTATGCCAAATAATATGTCTCGATTCATCTCAGCGTTCATGACAACAACATTCTCCTTGCAACTTCGATGTACATTGACCATTATCGAGACATCAACATCATCACATACACGAACATATATTTCTTGCGTGTGGGGTACTTTGTAAGTCAACTGTATCGTGCTTGCACTACAAGCAATTAACGTGCTATACTTACAGTATAACGTGCTATACTTACAGATTAACGTGCTATACTTACAGGTTAACGTGCTATACTTACAGTATAACATGCTATACTTACAGGTTAACGTGTTATACTTACAATATAACGTGCTATATTTACAGTATAACATGCTATACTTACAGGAGAACATGTTATACTTACGATATAACATGCTATACTTACAGGTTAACGTGCTATACTTACATGATAACGTGCTATACATATGTGATACGTGCTATAACTAATTTTTAACTAGTTTTTATGAATTCATAATAATAATGAAATTAGTGTGAGTAAATTACTGTGAAATAATCATGCACAAAATGATCATAATAAATTGTAAAGTTGGTAGTGGAGTAATTGTCGTGCATAAAACGATCATAATAAATAGTAAGGTTGGCAGTGGAGTAAATTAGTGTGAAATAATCATGTGAAATAATGGGTGGTTAATTACAAAACGTCATTTAACTAACATTTAACTAACATATCAAATACTGTAAGTATAGCACGTTATCATGTAACTAATAATACTTGGGTTTAAAGATAAAGCTAGGTTAACGTGCTATACATACAAATTAATGTGCTATACTTATGATATAACGTGCTATACTTACAATATAATGTGCTATACTTACAGGTTAACGTGCTATACTTACAATATAACGTGCTATACTTACAGGTTAACGTGCTATACTTACATGATAACGTGCTATACTTGCATGATAACGTGCTATACTTACAGGTTAACGTGCTATACTTACATGATAACGTGCTATACTTACACGAGAACATGCTATACTTACGATACAACATGCTATACTTATAGGTTAACATGCTATACTTACATCATAACGTGCTATACGTATGTGATACGTGCTATAACTAATTTTAACTAATTTTTATGAGTTCATAAATAATAATGAGAAATTAGTGTGAAATAATCATGTGAAATAACTAATGTGAAATAATAAAGTGGAATTAATGAGTGGTTAATTACAAAACCTTATTTAACTAACATTTTACCAAATTATATGAACTCATTTAACTAACGTGAAATAATAATATGGAATTAATAATGTGAAGTAACTAATTAATGTGAAATAATCATGTGAAATAATCATGTGAAATAACTAATGTGAAATAATAAAGTGGAATTAATGTGAAATTTTATGAACTCATTTAACTAACATATCAAATAATTGTCATGCATAAAATGATCATAATAATTTGTAAAGTTGGTAGTGGAGTAAATTGAAAAATTTTACCTTTAAATGCTAAGAAAGTTGGTGAGAATTAATTGATGGGTTAGGAGAGAGCTTTCATTTCTAATAATGGAGTGAGAGAATGGGAGATGAAGTGGGAGATGAAGAAGGAGAGAGAGAATGAAGTTGGTGAGAATTAATGGATGAGAGAGATAGAGAAGACAGGAGGAGAGAAGGGGAGTCTTTCCCGCCATTTACAGCAAGAGAGAGGGTGGGAGGGGGGCCCACTTACTGGAAGGTTAAGATTGGAATTTAGGAAAAATATATAGGGGGGACCCACGTATGAGAGGATTGTATTTTAGAATTGGGTTTAAAAACAAATACCAAAAGTGAATTGGGCTTAAAGATAAAGTTTAAAATACTTGGATTAAAGATAATTGTAGGTAAACAAATGGGCCTAAAGATAAAAAACCCCTTTTTTTAAATATGAGAGCGTTTATAATTAAAACTCATTTGTAAGGACATTTTTAGAATTGTAAAAGCGTGGCTCACATTTGTAACTAATAAATTCGACTATAGTTACAAATTACAAAGGGACTTTACTTGAATCGAAAAAGTTACACAACTTCCTTCCGACGTCATGACGACTACGAGTTTTCTTAACCGCGAATTGGTTTTGTACTGCGAAAATTGCAACTACTCCACAATAGAAATTCAAACTACCTAATACTGCTATTAATAAGTTTTAAAATTGAACTAAACTGCTATAACTGAGACTTCATGCGAGAACAGTTGCGGCAATGATATTCGCATATAACATTTATGATGCCCCTTTTTTTTTGGTTAATAACAGAAAATATAATTTATATATGCCTACAGCTTCAATGCTCCATGAAAAATTGTTGGAGCACTGATGGCATATCTGTAAATATATTCCTTAAAAATAGCTCTCACATTTCTAGATAGATAGATTTGGTAGTTAGGAGGTGTTCCACACCCAAAATTGTAATTAACTATAGGTTAAAAGGTTACTTTAGGAAATACAATTTAGGAGAGAAACCAAATTGTTGATTAGTTACAATTCTTCAACTAACTAATTTCAATTTAGCATAATCCTCTACCGTGGTTTTGCTCTTGTGCTTTGAACTAAGGGGGTGTTTGGCAATCTGAAAGTGAATTTAAAATATGTAAGTTACTTTTTTTTACAAATGACTTTTACATCCATGTCAGCACGCAAGTGAAATACAGTGTTTGTTTGAAAAATTAAATTATTATCGAAAGTGCAATGTGAAGATGACGTGGCAAAATAAGATTAATTAGAAAATATAATTAAAATTATTTAATTAAATTACTTATCTTTTTGTCACTTTCATGTGACTTCACCATTTTTTTAGGGGAAGTCAAAATTACATTAAATCTTATGTGGCAACTTTCTTACATCTCACTTTCATAACCACTTACATGAAAACAAACACCTTAATTATTAAATGAAAGTAACTTTCTCACTTTCATCTTTCACTTGCATGCAAACAAACACCCCCTAAAACTTTTAATTTTGATTGCTGAAGGAAATTAGTTAATTGCTTACATTCACTAGTATCCACAGATTCATTCTGATGTCTTGGTCATTTACTCGGTGGTAGGTAGCTTTGTTCTGTTTGTCCATGGGAGGAATCAACTGCACTTTCCATAGTTCAAAGAAACATAAAGGCAAGGACTCATCCTATTTCCCTAGTTTATAAGCTAATTTTTGCTAGTCTTATTTGTCCTCTTGATTAATTATCTTTTATATATTGTTTATAAAAGGCAACGACGCATCCTATTATCCAAAATTTCTCGTGAAGCGGCGCTATGAAAGGTATCCCCATCTTTTTCCTTTTAATTTTTTTAATTATATAGAACACTATGCTATGCTCATTGTTCTTCGCCTCTATAAAGGCATTGGATGATGATTAAAAGACTCTAAAGTAATTATGTCATGTGATGAGAAAGGAAAAAAAGCAACAGAGTGGTTGCATTTAGGATAGAAAGCAATTAGAAGAGAATTTTGAAAGACTAAAATACCCATTCTTAATTTAGCTCATTTGTTATTTTTATCAATATAAAAATTAAAAAAAGCCTATTTTTGGAGCACCGAAGCAAACCGCTTTATATATTTTAAAAAGTTTACGTGAAAAATGTCATCTAACAAAATCTCACCAATGATATAATTGAACAATTACATGTGCCAACAATTTATTTAGAGTGATCTTGCAAACTAATGCATGCAAGACACTAACCTTTCTCTAGTGGGGAAACATGCGTAAAATGGTTTTGATTAGCTTTTGGTGCAAAAGTTGCGGCGAAAAAGTACAAAAATAAACTGAGCAAGTGCATCGTTATCAATAAACATGTAGCGTATTCTAATCTATATTTATATTTATATATTTACTTATAAAAGAGGATATGGGTGTCAAAACTATTAATTAAGATGAACAACCGTAATGGATATATTGGACAATTTAGAAACATATCATATTTCATCCGTAAGACTATTCTTGATCTCTTATCCTATTTTCTTGATAGATTTCGTTTCGTCCCTATCTTATCACTCTTTGACTCCGGAGTTTCCCTCGGTTCTTGTCCCATCGCTTCGTGATTATACGCTCTCTTCCTATAATTCATCTTCCTCGTATCAGTCATTATTTCAAATGTTATTATTTTTACAACTATTTTTCTTTGATTTGACTTATATATCGTTGATTGTATTGATTTTCACATTATTTATTATATTATTTTATATATCATACACATTGTTATATTGTGTGTTTTTCATTAAAAATATATATCATTACTTATACATTTCCAATATATAGTTTTCTATCAGTCAGTTTTGCCCTGTTAGATTATTTTAGCATGTTCATAATTGGGTTCGTTATTTCTAAGAGTAATGTTTTTATGTTTTGATATTCAAACAATTATCCATATTGTTAGGTTTGGATTGAGTTACTAATTATATAGTTTTGTTACATTATCTCGTACCATTGGTTATTAATCTTTTATTCCTAATATAAAAGATTTTTCTAAATAACATTTGTGAGTATGTATAGTATTTATTCATGGTTTGTTTATAGTGTAGTTGCATATTTGTTGTTGTTTGCTTCGTTTTCGATATGTATTATTTTATCATTGTGATAATATACATTGTATACACGTGTTATTTTTCAGTATTTATTTTATGGTAATTTTTAGATTTTTATGTCTTTTATTGTGTCGTTGTTTGTTGTTCATTCTTCATTCATTATTTTCGTTACTTGTATTATGTTTTACTTTTCATTCTTTATAATTACTATTCTCTTTTCATTATAATGTATTCACGTAGATTATTATATTTACGATGTTATTTTATTGATTTATAGTCATTCATGATTTTAGTATCAATTGTGTTTAATCGTGTTCTATTTCATGTATTATCGGTGTTTATTTTGTATGTATTATTATTCTAATTGCTTTATGATTGCTTTTCCTATTATCTTTGATTTATACTTATTATTATATCATTCTATTTTGTTATATGATCCTGTTGATGTTTGTTTTTTTTGCTCATTTACTCGTTTTTATTGATATTATATCTTACATTGTGTTTTTAATATCTTTAGTTTGAACTTGTATTGATTGTATTTTTCATAATTAAATTTTTTTGTTTTGATTAACCATTGTTATACCATGTTATTATGTTTTGTTTAAACTGTTATGTATTTTAGATTTTTGACTTTTCTTATTATGTTGTTTATGTGTATGTTTGTTCTATTGTATTTGAATTATTTTTGTGTTTGCCTTAGATTTATTGTTCTTACTTGATTTTATTCTTACTTAATATATTTCTGCTTTGTTTCTATGGATGTTCTTACTTGATTTTATTCTTACTTAATATATCATTAATTATTGATTTTCACTATTAATTAAGATGAACAACCGTAATGGATATGGGTGTCAAAACTATTAATTAAGATAGTTTGCCTAGATATATTTATATATCATTAAAGTAGCATGTGTGCTACTTCTCATTCTCTATGATAATGATGCTCTTATGATACAGCTAGTTAGGCTGAGTTTTACTCTTAATAAGTCCAACGCGTGTATGACGGAGGGTATGATATTCAGCTAAAGTACCCTTGGAGGACTTACTTACGTGAGAGGAAACGTGATGGTCGCGGTTGGGGGGGCTGGACTAACCCCTAGAAACTCTCATGAGTCGGTTATTGTGAGTATGGTGTTTAATGCTCAACCCTCTTTGCTCAATAGATGAAGACATATTATGTGTGTTTTCGTCAATACCTATTTAAAGGGGCCTAATTCAAGACCTAGTTCATTATGTCCCTCAGGTGGCGATGAACTCACTAAGGAAATGTTCAAAGCCGAAAGCTACCTCTCCCGAATTCACGATATGAAAGGTTGTCCAATCTATATTTGTTTTGTGATTTATTAATTTATTAATTTTTTAGTTTTCAATCAATTAGGGGGAGGGGGGGGGGGCTGTTGGATATTTTGTTTAAGAAAAGGTAATTTTGCCTTCATGAATAGCAATAAATTTTGTAATCAAAACATATTTTAATTTTGTAATCAAGACATTGATGTGGGAAACAAATTTGGTGAATGGTTTGGTGGGATGAAGAATCTGTATCTGCTGAAGGGGTTAATATCTTGTTAAATTCTTTATCTTCTATAATAACGTTCAGTTGTCAGATTTAGTGCAAGGTGTTCTGTTGTCAACGTTCTTTTCTCTTTTTTCTTTAAAGAAACTAAATGTACGTATTCAATAAATGAAGATGTGAAGAACCTTAAAACACTATGAGATGCTGGAATTTGTTCATGAAAAGATTCTACCTTAAAACACTATGAGATGCTGGAATTTGTTCATGAAAAGGTTCTTAGGCATTTCTTTTCAAAAAAAAATATGTCCATAATACCTATACTGTTAGTATGCAAAACTTGCTGCATCTTAATCTGCATATATTTTTAACATGGTTAATTGCAGAATGGATAACTTGGGCACTGAAGCTAATAAAGTAAACTTGGATGACGATGATTTAATATATACTCCTCAAGTATCAGATGAGTTGAGGCAAAAAAAAGGGTAAGAATTTGACACAATAAATGATGTTGTGACATTCTATAATGCTTATGCTAAAGCAGCTGGGTTTAGTGTAAGGTCTTGGACTACTCAGAAAGAGCCGGGAAGTTGTGAAATAAGAAGGAAGGAGTATGTTTGTTTTAAACAAGGAAAATTTCTAAAAATCGCGGATGTTGGAAAGAAAAGACGTCGAGGAAGCTTAGCTGAGGATTGTACTGCCAAAATTGTTGTTTTAAAATCAAACTCCGGAAAATACATTGTTACTGTTTTTAATGAGGAGCACAGTCACCCACTATCAACACCATCAAAGGTTCATCTTTTAAGGTCCCATCGTAACGTTTCAGCCGTAACAAAGTCTCTAACTAAACAGTTATCCATGGTGAATATACCTCAGCATCAACAATTCAGTTTACTTAGAGTACAATCTGGATGTATAGAAAATATTGGGTGCACTCAAAGAGATTTGTATAATCATGCAAGGGATATCAGTGCTGATTTGAAGGGGCATGATGATGAAATGTTTTATGAGTATTTAAAATTGGAACAAGGAAAGAATCCCTCATTTACTTTTCAAATTGAGGCCGATGAGGAACAAAAGATTACTCATTGTTTTTGGTCCGATGCAAGATCAGGGCGGGCTTACAAATTTTTCGGTGATGTTGTAATCTTTGATACTACTTATAATACTAATCGCTATGGCCTTATATTTACACCAATAATGGGGGTTAACAATCATGGTCAAACAATTGTTTTTGCTTGTGGATTTTTAAATCATGAGAGCGTTGATGATTTTGTATGGTTATTTAATCAGTTTTTGGCAAGTATGCCTGGTGGTGCCACGAAGATGATTATTACCGATCAAGATCCATCTATGACTAAGGCATTCCCTCTTGTTCTTCCAAATACTTTTCACAGGTATTATAGTTTGTATATATTATTGAAAATATTTATATACATAGCCTTTCTTTTTAACACTTTTTTTTAATTCTTTTGACAGGTATTGTAGTTGGCATATATTAATGAAGTTTTCTGAGAAAATTAATGCAGTGAAGTATAGTATTTACAAAAGTGAGTTCTCGACTTGCATTTGGAAATCAGAGACTCCTGAAGAATTTGATTTATAATGGGAAAGTCTGATTAAGAAAAGTGGGTTAGAAGGAAACAAGTGGTTGTGACCAATATGAACTTCAGTCAAGATGGATTCCTGCATATGTTAATCACATTTTCTTATCAGACATGTCAAGTAGCCAACGAGCAGAAAGTGGACATGCATTCTTCAAGAAATTTGTTTCGAAGAATAATTCATTGGTGGATTTTATGATACAGTTTGGCAGGGGACTAGTACGCCAACGTCACGAGGAGTTGATGGCCGATCACAAAGACTTGATTGAGAAACCTAAGCTTAGAATAAATCATGACTTTTTGGAGCAAATGGTTGATATTTACACTAATGAGATGTATTACAAGTTTGAGGCTGAAGTGTGTGACAGCTTTAACTACAAGTTGTAGTTTGTTAGGGAAACCGACAATCGTTGTGTGTATCAAATTCAAAGAAAGAAGCTCGCAACAAGCAAAGTTCGCGAAATCGTTTATGACAAGGACTTGGATTTGGTTTCTTGTAGTTGTAAAAAGTTTGAAAGCGCCGGAATCATATGTACTCACATTATCTCCTACTTGATGAAATTTGATGCTGAAATATTACCCGATAAATACATCTTAATGATGAAATTTGATGCTGAAATATTACCCGATAAATACATCTTAAAGAGGTGGACTAAGTCTGCAAAATTGGGGACAATGGTTGATGATAAAGGTATGCAGATAAGCCCTGACAATTCTTATCTTTTAACACGGAGTCAATTTATCCAATCATCTTTGGAATTAGTTGACAAGTCTCTTGTATGTGAAGAAACGAGGAAGATGTTTACCGATGGAGTGCGTATCATTAATGAGCAAATCGACCAATTCATTAGTAGCCACATGGTTAGTGGCTGCACGGTTGCAAAGAGCTTCACCGAGAAAAATAATCAAATGAGTAGTAATTTAATGGATGGTGGTACTAGTGTGTAGGATTCTTATACTTTTCAAAATAGTTTCAATGAACCCAATCAAGTGCGAGCAAAAGGTTGAAGGGAGGAAAAGAGAAAGCAATGGCTAGAGCAAAAAATAAAAAAGATAGACGTTGCCTCAAGTGAAGATGGGGATGATGTGCTCATATGAAGACGGTCTTCATCTGAATCTCGTTTTAATGTATGTTATCTTGTACACTCCTTGTTTTTATTTTGCACATAAGGATTTGTTTATACCCTTAATTAGGAATTAGTTATAGACTTACTATGACTAACACACAAAAGTTATTTTGCACATAAGGATTTGTTTATACAGAAGTCTGTTATATAAATATGCTCATTATTGATTAGTTTTCTTGGTGACATCTAAGTGCAGAAATCTTGAGTTCTGTAAAGTAAAAAAACCTGACACTTGTGCTAGATCTATAAGGTATTACCAATTTAATTTGTAACACAGAATGCACTTGTGCATATTGTATATCCTTTTTCCCTTTCTTCATGGCTAAGATATTCTTGCTAACAATGAAATTAGTCAAGATATAACAGCATAACTAATGTATTGACTTTGATGTGATCATTCTAAGGAACATGGAGGACACAGAAATTCGGATTTGAAGTTGACAAAATCTTTGTGCAGTTCTGGTTATTCGGAAATTTGTTGTGATCATTCTCAGGAACATGTCATACAGTGATATTATGTTGACAAAATCTTGCTTTTGCTTAGCTATCTTGTAAGTGGGGAGTGCAATGAAGTTGATATGGGAACCAAGTTGAAGTTGTGTATTTTGCCTTATTTAATGAAGTTGTGTTTTGTATGTTGTAAAGGACAAGTTATCTTTTGCATGTTGTAAAGGAAGAGTCAATGTTGCTGTTGGTCACCCTATTCCTGAGAATTTTGAAGAGCAAATGAAGCTGGCTACGGCTGCGGCTAAAGCCATCATGTTTATGTATGTTTAACTTGTTCATCTGTATGTTTATGTATGTTTTCCCCTCTTTCTATTTGTTGGAAGTGTGAATATTTCCTGGTGATATGCTTCTTCAAGCCATCATGTTTTCGTGCATTTGCTAGGCTAATTATGCTCTCTTACCTACATACTATAATAATTATGCATCGAGATATTGGAGTTCTGTCAATCTACCAGCCAAGGTACGACAAGGGATTGTCCATTTACAAAATTTTCCAAATAATTCTCTGGGTACTGAGTATATACAAGTTCCAATACATCTCCCACCTAATAATGTATGTAAGCCAACTAACTCCTGCATTCTGCATATGCCAACAAATTAAACTCCACATTGCATATAGCAATTCTGAAAGGCTTGATGTTTTCCCTATAAAAACACTTCTTCAATGGTTATCTGCAAACAAATAATGACATGCATCTTTACCACATTGGTTATCTGCAAACAAATTAAACCCCACATCATATGCTGAACAAGAGACTCTCCTATACCAGGTTCAGGAGACTCTTCGTTTATTACATCATATGCTGTTCACAAGTCCTTGATGAACACAAGCAGAGACTCTCCTATACCAGGTAAAGTTAAAATAAATATCAACTATTATGTCACATCTTAGCAAGATAGGATATTGGAACAATTTTGAAAACAGACCCATCACATACCTGTTACAAAAATATTCTTAAAAGATGACATGTTCTGAAAATATATGTTCTGAAAAATAGGTTCTGAAAAATGACAAGTCCAAAATATAAGATGCATAAATATTATATCACATAACTTACAAATCCCATCACATACCTTTTACAATGGAAAAGCTAACAAATACTGCAACGATACATACTACAAACACAAATATTGTAAACATTGAACCTAATGTAAAAATATAGATCGGGGAAATAACAATTTCCCGAAATTATTCCTTGTCCTTATCTTTATTATGCATATCCGAAAATATTTGTTGTTGAAATTGAAGTGGTGTCTGGACAGGCCTTGAGCTGGATGCTGAATCACGATCGATGGTGTGCTTCTCCCATTCACTCAAAGCCTCTTCATACATTGCAAACCCTTTGTAGGAGGCATTTGGAAATTTATCAACAGCGAATTTACATTCCTCCAAATTATCAAAAATGCAACATTGTCGACCTCTCCTCGCAATATAAAAACGCTTTCTTGCCATGGATAACCTGCGTCAAATAGAGCTTCAACGAGAGTAGATGAGCATATGGTCTCACTAAGATACGTATCAGTGCAAGCTCTTTGGCCTTTGTACTCCTACTTGGATTGTTGGGATTGTTTGATATTTAGAACAAGATAGCACTTACTTTTATCAGTACATTGCTGAATTAACCTATCAAATCAGTGCAAGCCCAGTTGTTATTGTTTGTCTCTGCCTCATAAGACATTTTTGTTACATGCCGACTGTCAAGATTCTTATAAGGTTATCGAGCTTCTCCATTATTGAACTCGGTTGTTAACAACTTGATACCCTAGCCAATAATCTGAAGCTTTAATACCAGTTTGTTGTGAAAAAATCGACATAAACACAAAATTTAAAGAAAATTATGTGACTAGAAGAAACCAGAGATTTGAGTGCTTTGACACTAGAGGCCTGTATCAAAATATCTAATTGTACTTAGTAATCTCTTAATCCTTAATTGATACTAGAGGCCTGCATTAAAATTATGGGACTAGAAGAAACCAGCGATTTGTGTGATTTGTGTGGAATTGCTTTTGTACTTAAATCTCTAATTGTACTTAGTAATCTCTTAATCAAAATATCTCAAAGAATAACCAGAATAACTAGAAGAAAATTATAGTACGATTTTAGAAGAGTATGGGCTCTTATTGTAGATACTTGAAACTTCTAATTGGCCCTTACTTATTAATGCAAATAACCCTCTTAGTACGTTAATTCCAAACAATCTAAGCAAAATCATGCGATGATTCAGATCTACGACGAGAAAATAACCAGATCTAACAACAGAAAACGAGAATAGAACCAATATCTAAGCATTCTTTGTGTAGTTAAACATCAATTAAAGGAACAAACAGCTTACAAGTTGGCTTGCGGAGATCGGGAGCAAAATTTCTGACGACCGCCGACGGCGAGTAAGCGGAGGAGGAGCTGAAGGCTGAGTCTGTCAGCGGAGTTGGTTTCCCGACCGATGCTTGATTCGACGTCGAGGTCTTGACCGATCGGCGTCGTTGTTGTCTCGTCAGAAGGGTTTGGGAACGATTTGGGGTTTTTTGTGAGGAAGGGTTTGGGAACGATTTGGGGTTTTTTGTGAGGAGTTTGGGGATTTTTGAAACGGAAATGATCACGAGAAAGCAACTTTTGGAGCTTTTTTGTCGTTGTAGATTTTCAAAAAAAACCCTGCTACGGAGATCACGAGCTCGAGATGGGATCACGGATTTGTCAGACATTTTTCTAAAAAAACCCTTGCTTTCAACGATCTCAGCCAGATGCGTACGCATCAGTCCGCATGAGAAATCCTCTCTCTCTCTCTCTATATATATATATATATCACACACACATATATATATATATATATAGTCCGTTTCTCATACGGATCAATGCGTACGTACTCGTTCGTTTGCGCGAGCTGCAGGATGTTTTTTGTAAAAATCACCTCCAGCTGGCCTCAATCAAACGAAGGCTCACCCTCCCCCATAAAAAATCTTCTTTTATTTTTCCCCCCCCCC